CTTGATTACACTGGTTGTTAGGACGTGGCCTTGTTTGAAGTGAATGCAGAGCAGTTAGCAATGAAGAGATGAGCAATGAAAAGTAAATTTTTAAGCGTTAATGTTTGTGAAGGTTATGAAAACAAGTTCTTGGGTCATTGAACGTAAAATGGTATTTTTTAGTGAGACATGTTTAGGTTATTTAATGAACATGACAGGGGAAGAGTGGGGGGTGATACAGGAGAAGGGACAGGCTGCTGAAGAATGTTTTTTATTTTTTATTTTTTTCAATTGTCTAATAGTAGGATAAAGGGTGAGAGTGAAAGCGAGAGTAGAGAGAGTAGTGGGTGTGAGAATGAGAGAAGTGTGAGAATGAGAAAACTGTGAGAATGAGAGAAGTGTGAGAATAAGAGAAGTGTGAGAATAAGAGAAGTGTGAGAATAAGAGAAGTGTGAGAATAAGAGAAGTGTGAGAATAAGAGAAGTGTGAGAATAAGAGTAGTGTGAGAATGAGAGTTTAGAGTGTGAGAGAAGTGGAAGTGTGTGTAGAGGGAAAGTACGGAAAGAGAAAAGCTTTATTTTTTTTTTTTTTTTTTTCTGTAGACCTGCGAGAGAGAGTGAGCAGAGACAGAGAGAAGCACAGGGCAAAGTCTCCACTTTTTTTTTTTATTTTTTTTATTGTGACAAACAAACAAGGTGGGAGGGCAACTTTAGTGTTTCAACAACATAAAGTAATCGTAATTGTCTCTTAGGGTCTAGCAAAATGATTTGATCTTCATGTTTGACTCACTGACTTTTTTTTTTTTCTTTTCTTTTCTTTTCATGATTATGAAACTTTTTTTCGCTTTTCTCTTCCTCTTAATATCTCTACTGCCGCCAGACGGACCTGCATAATTGTCCATGGTGACTCTGGGGCCGCTATGACGTATTTATGAGAGTGTATGAGCTATGAACTGTAGGCTATGAAGTATGAGCGATGTATCAACTATGGTTATCCACTATGAGGTATCAACTCTGGGCTATCAACTCTCAACTATATCAGCTATCAGCATAAAAAAATAAAAAATAAAAAATAAAAATTAAAGAAAAAAAACTTTTCTACGGATAAACATTTAAAAAGGTCATGGTGAGAACCAAGTTTAAAAAGCTTTCGCGCGCACATTACGCTTTTCTCCTACACCTCCAACAGACCCACACCTTTCTCTCTTTCTCTTTTGCTTTTCTTTTTTTCTTCTTATCTCTATTAATCTCCTTTTAACCTATCTACCCACTTTACCTCCTTTTCATCATGGCTAAAGGCGCTGGTCTCTTCCGGATGATGAACATCATCGTTGGTAGGCTGAACTTACCATAAGATTACTTTTCTTTTTAGCTACTTCAACTTGAGCCCCCATCGTCTTACCAGTGCACTCCTTTGTTCTCTCTTACAATCATTCTCCTCTTTCTTTTAGCCGTCCTACTTATGTTAGGTGGTATTATCCTCTTCGTGGACCTTGGCTCATGGAACTCTGGTATTTTGGGTGTCTTTGTAGTGTAAGTTAATTTCTATGGATGGAAAAAAAAAAAAAAAAAAAAAAAAAAAAAAAAAACCTTCGCTTCTAATAACTCATGATTAGCTTACGCGTGGTTGCATGATAACTAATATTTAATGTTGGCAATGCCCGTCATCTTGACGGAATCGATCATCCTTTTTTTTTTTTTTTTTTTTTGTGGCAAAGCTTGTTTGGGCTCTTGACTTTTATTCTAGAGTTTACTATCCCTGAATCGATCGTGTACAACATGGGCTTCATGTTCACCATGTTAGGGCGCGGAATATGTAAGTGAATCTTCTCCACAGTTACACACACTTGTCGATCCATACTCATCTCGAACCCTAACCACCTCTTTTTTTTTTTTTTTTTTTTTTTTTTTCGTTTTCACTTTAAATAAAAAGTTTATATTTGGTAAGTAAAGATACAGATATTTGCAGTTGTCATCAACTATTGTTTGTTTGAGTATATAATTTAACTTTGACTATTTAAATAGCATGGGTGTCCTCTGTCTATCATGGAGATGGTTCAACATCGTGGTTGGATGCATTGTCATGGCCGTCGGTCTCTTCTACGTTGCCATGCACTTCAAGGGAGCAACACCTTCTCCTTCCATGTCTGCAGTCCCCAACACCTCCAATAACAACCTCTACTCTGGTTCTGCTTCAGGCCTTGGATCTGGCCCCGGCACTGGCCATGGCACTGGCCATGGTACTGGCCATGGTACTGGCTATGGTACTGGCACTGGCTATGGCTCCGCCTCTGGTTACGACAATGCACAGTACAGCAAACCAAACCCTGATCAACCTCAAATGTCTCAATCCTACCAGTACCAGAACCAGAACCAGAACCAGAACCAGAATAATAACCAAACCTCCTAACTCTATTGATTCTTACACTAATCGTCCTTTTTTTTTTTTAAAAAAAAAAAAAAAAAAAAAAAAAAAACCTTTATATTTTTTTCTGTTTTAACTTACGAATACTTAATGTCGTAGTATATTTAAAATAAAAATAAAAAAAGCTATAAAGCTATTCGATCTTTTTTATTCAAATAAAATAAAAAAAAAATATCTAAACAATCCTGCAAAACTCTAACAATCGATCGATTTTATGGTGCCTTCATGGCCTTCTTGATAATCTCTTCAGCTTCATCCAAATCTTCTGGTAGTTGGATCATCCTACGATCAAAATGACCCTCAATCTCTCTCATCACCTCCATACTCTTGTCATCATGGATAAAGTTGACCGACACTCCTGTGCGACCGAAACGACCAGTGCGTCCAATACGATGAAGGTACGTTTCAGGGTCCGGTCTTCCATACTGGTCCGTAGGCATGTCATAATTAACAACCATGTTCACATTGGCAATATCGATGCCTCGGGCAATAACGTTGGTCGTAATAAGAACCTTGGACTTTCCTGCACGGAAAGAATCAATCACTTCATCACGCTGAGTTGCTTCCAATTTTCCATGCAAAGAAACTACCGCATGATGCTTTTCCGACATCTTTTGTGCAATCTCATCGGCTGTATCACGTCTCTATTAAAAAGTCACATTCAAACAAGTAAGTAAAATATATAATGAATAAAAGACTTCGGTATTATCTAAAAAACAAATAAAAATAAAAATAAAAATAAAAAATAAAATGAAAAATAAAAATAAAATAAAATAAAAAATAAAATAAAAAAGTAAAATAAAAAAGTAAAATAAAAAAGTAAAATAAAAAAGTAAAATAAAAAAGTAAAATAAAAAAGTAAAATAAAAAATAAAATAAAAAGTAAAATAAAAAAGTAAAATAAAAAAATAAAATAAAAAGTAAAATAAAAAAATAAAAGATAAAAATAAAAAAATAAAAGATAAAAATACGTCGTACATAGATCCTACCTTTACAAAAATAATACTCTGACTGACAGTCAACAATGAGTACAACCCCACAAGGATATCGTACTTTCTATTCTTGTTGCCCCTCGTCTGATCGCGGCAGTCGACATAAAATTGTTTGATACCGTCAACCGACAACTCCTCAGGTCTAAGTGTGATCTGGTTGGCATTCACCGCAATCTCTTCTGCAAATTTACGAACACGGTCAGCCCATGTTGCAGAGAACAGCACAATCTGACAATCTCTGGGCAAAAATCTATAGTAGTCGTGGTGAATAAATTGACTGTTGAATCTGACCGGTCTTTGATCTTCAACAAAAATTGCCTCTACTCACAATCCTTACATAACCACACCAACGGTTACATACCTCTTCAGTTGACGACTCTGATCACCAAGGCCTTGCAAGTCCAACATGTTATCTGCCTCATCCAAAACATAGAGGCGAATATTCTTGGAATCGATGACACGTCTCTTAATCAAATCCGTCACTGTTCCCGGAGTGCCAACGATAACATGGGCAGTCACCTTGGGCGGCGTATTCTCGTCCTTGATAGCTTGGAATAATGTCACTTGCGTAAATTTACCCATCTCTTGAATAACCTCCATGGTCTGGCGTGCCAATTCACGCGAAGGCGAAAGAACCAAAGCCTTAGAGTGTAAATTTTTTTTTTTTTAAAAAAAAAAAGTCAGATTATGCCAAAGAGTTAATAAGTAGATTGAAATTTGTAGCATCAACGTTTGCAATTTTTCACGAGGTCCTTACCTGAGGAGCTTTAAGATCATAGTTGATTCTGCTAAGAATAGTGAGAGCAAAAGCAGCTGTTTTGCCTGTTCCTGACTGGGACTGAGCGATCATGTTACGTGGACTAATCAATGGATTAAAAACAAAGATGCGACGTGGGAATGTCAGATGAATATGTATGCATATATGCATTAATATCAAACCGTATCTTTTTTTTTTTTTTTTTTTTTTTTTTTTTTTTTTTTTTTTTTTAAAAAAAATAATAATAATAATAATAAAGCACTCATACGGGTTTTGAAGCAAAAGTGGTAATGCTCGCTCCTGGATCTTGGAAGGCTTGGCAAACTTCATGTTGTAAAGTCCTTTGAGCAAGTCATCGTGCCTATATAGGTAGAGGAAGAAAAAAAAAAAAAGTTCATACCGATTTCAAAAGCAAACCCAGTCAATTAGAAAGAAGGATTGAATAGAGTATGGTATTAGACTTACAAACCAAGGTCTTCAAATGAGCTGATAGAATAAAGAGGAGAGTTGACATCAGCCTGTTGATCCGCAAGCTTGACTACAACATTATATGAGGACTCGAGCAAATCGGTAGCTCTTTCTTGTGCAGTCTGGACCTCTGTAAATGCACAGTACCGTTCGAAAAAGTAAGGAAATGGATTTTTGTTAGGGTTCATTCGATAAAAGTGATAACCACACATTAAAAGAAGAAAAACAAAAACAGTGAATCCCTGACTATACCTTCACCACCATCATCGCGTGATGCCTCAAGCTGTGTTGTCTCGAGCTTTGTGGACAGGGCTGCATAAGGAAAATGAAAAATAATAGTATATGAATAAAAACAGAGTCATAAAAGAGTCGAAAGGGCGACTCACATATTGACGCGATACAGTGATACTCAGGTAGCTGCCACGTCTTTGACATAAAAAAATTAACATCGCCATGCATACCTTCTGCAGATGTCTCATCTGCGAAGACGAATCCCAATGAAGAAAGAACTTTTGTGATTAGAAGGTTATTTCTTTATGATTATTACTTTTTTATCGTATAATTCTATTGAGATAGAGAGTTGGCTGAATACCTGGTGCAGAGGAAGCCATAGTTGGAATGTGGGTTTAAAGGTTGAGACTGTAGATACTAATGACTGTTCCTGCAAGCTCTTTGATGCAACGATGCAACAGAGTAGAGGAGTAAAAAATGCAGTTGATGGAGGTGCTCGAAAGAAAAGAGTTGGTCCTATTCTTCCTCCATTCCAGCCTATTTAAACGACTTTGCCTCCCACTTCAACGTGAAATCAAAGAGCAGTCTCAATGGAGGTGACAAACACGGTAAGCCACTTTACTTGGCACTTTTTTTTTTAAGCACAGAGGAGAATATTACTCTTCTTCTGCAACCTCACTCTGTCCCTCATGGCTTCCACACATCGCGCCATTGAACCCGAAAACCAGGCAGGGGAACAGCTTACGGACCAAGCTCTGGATATAGCTCCTCAATATGATAATACAGTCGGTGCGGCCAATCACTATGATGACGACGACGATAGTTTTGACAGTGAAGATATTGACTTGGATGACCTCGAAGATGAGCTTAATGACTTTGATGGTTGGGATAATGCCACAGGAGGTAAATTCTTTGGCTTTCATTCATTAGGACTGTTGCCTTAGACGTACTAGTCACATATTGGTATGACAGGTATCTTTTTTATTCATCCGGGACATATATTCTTCGTCTTAACTGTTCCGGATCGCTTTTAGACTTCACAAAACAATACAATCGACTTCGTCAACAACTCCAGCCAAATAAGTCTACCAACCCTGTTATCAGTACACCTGCAGCAAATCAACCACGCAAAACATCTGTAGTAGCAAAAAAGACCGAGTCAAGTCATTCTATAGAGAATGATCCGCACAAACAAGGTGATCAGATCGATGCACTTCAAACAAAGTTTGAAGGAAGACTTCATCTCGGCGAACACAGCGTAGCTCCGCCTGTAGCAGAGCTCAAGTTAGGCAGTAAGAAAGCTGCTGGTGACCGGTATGTCTTAATAATGAAGATATAATTAGGCTTTCTTTTTTTTTCTTTTTTTTTTTTTTTTTTTTTAAAAAAAAAAAAAAAAAGATATACTTTATACATAAAACATTCCATAAAGTTATAATGATACTAATATGTTTTACTGTGTTCTTAATGACCGGAAATATAGGACCAAGAATACAGATAAATCGGATCGAGCTACTTCTGATCAAGTCTTGGATCCTCGCACACGTATTATTCTCTTCAAAATGCTCAACCGCAACATTATTTATGAGGTCAATGGATGCATCAGCACTGGAAAAGAGGTAGGTGCTTTAACCTAAAAAAAAAAGAAAAGAAAAAAAAATTAAAGTATCTCACAGTTATTTTGCTCTGATATATTTATTTAAAAAAAAAAAAAAAAAAAAAAAAAGGCGAACGTTTACCATGCTAGGACTGAAAGTGGCGAGCATAGGGCCATTAAAATTTACAAGACATCCATTTTGGTATTCAAAGATCGTGATCGCTATGTTTCTGGAGAGTACCGATTCCGACATGGATATAACAAAAGTAATCCACGCAAGATGGTCAAGATCTGGGCTGAGAAGGAGATGAGAAACCTGAAGCGTTTACATCAAGCCGGTATTCCTTGTCCAGAGCCATTAGTACTTCGTATGCATGTCCTTGTAATGGGATTCTTGGGTGACAAGAATGGTTGGGCCTATCCACGTCTCAAAGATGCGCAAATTGATGTAGATCGATATCCAGCCCTGTACTTCCAGCTCATCAAGTATATGCGTATCATGTATCAAACATGTCGCCTCGTACATGCTGATTTAAGCGAGTACAATATCTTGTACCACTCACGTACATTATATATTATTGATGTGTCGCAGTCGGTCGAGCATGACCATCCTCACGCCTTCAACTTTTTACGAATGGATATTACCAATGTATCAGACTTTTTCAGGAAAAAGAATGTTGCAGTCATGGGCCAAAAAGAACTCTTTGACTTTATCACTGATGTGAACATTGAAATGACGGACGAAGGTATGGATAATGAACTCGAGAGAATTCAGAATAACCTTCCACTCAACGAGACCAAGGCAGAGGCGGACAAACGCATGGTTGATGAAGCTGTGTTTGCGCAATCATATATTCCACGTCACTTACAGGAAGTCATTGATGTTGAACGAGATGTACGCAAGGTTTTGGAAGGCAACACGGAGGAACTTTTATACACAAAGATGACAGGCATTAAGGATGTGGATGAAAGGCCGAAGCAGAAAGTAGAGCCGAAACACCCATCCCCAAAAACCAGGGGTCCTGGCGACGAACAAGATACAGTTACTGTACCAGCAGCGGCTACTACCTCTACAGACGCAGCTAGTATGGATAAAGGGGCAGACATTGGCAGAGTATTACAAGGTCAAAAGAATCAGGAGGTATCAGGAGCTAATATCGAAGAACAAGATCGCGAAGAGGAAGAGGAAGGTGATAGCGGTTCAGATAGTGAAGATAGTGATTCGGATGCAGGCGAGGATGTTTTTACGAAACAAGCACGCGGAAAGAGAAATGAAGACAAGGAGGCGAAGAAGGAACGTAAGCTTAAATCTAAAGAGGAAGCGCGTGAAAAGAGGAAGAACAAGATCCCTAAAGCAGATAAGAAGCGTAAAATTAAGTCAACGTCTTCAAAGAAGAAATAAAGAACTATAGGGAGAAAAAAAAAAAAAAAAAAAAAGAGAAAAAATCACGTGGAGAACTTCATCCTAAAGAAATACGGAAGGGAAAATCCTTTTTTGATCTGATCACTTCCTTCTCTTTGTTAAAAAGGATCAACATCATGAGCACCATCACTATTCCCACAGCATGTGACATGCACATTCATCTGCGACAAGGATCGCTTATGAAAATGGTTACGCCTGCTGTGGCGGAAGGAGGCGTCTCGATCTGTTATGTCATGGTACTGCATGGAAAGCGTTTCACCAACTTGCTTCGAGCTATTATTATTCTTAACAGATTTTTGATATGCTTCTCGGTTGACAATTATCTATGTTTAAACTCCCCTGGGTTTTTGACTCAATCCCTGATAGCCCAATCTCCAACCAACCATCTCCAACACTGAGATGGCGCTTGCATATAAGGCAGAACTCGAGAAGCTGGCGCCTAAAGTTACTTTCCTTATGTCACTTTACCTCAACCCCTCATTGACTCCCGAGGAGATCAGGAAGGCAGCTAAGGCTGGTGTTCGCGGTAATAGATTGGTGTCATCACAGACAGATTTCTATTTTCTTTTTCTTTTTTTATTTTTTAAGCTCTTTGAGCGTTGTAGTCGATACCTAGGGAATAATATCTCAAAAATGAATGGAGCTGACTGAGTGGAAGGACAATTCTATACCAGAAGGAGGCGCATTGCCGACTTGATCTGACTTTTTTCTTTTTTTTTTTTTTTTATTCTTTAACATCGGTTACTTGGAATGGGGGTTTAACAGGTGTCAAGTCGTATCCTCGAGGCGTAACAACAAACAGCGAGTCTGGTATTGAGAGCTACGATATTTACTATCCTGTGTTCAAGGCTATGGAAGAAGAAGGCATGGTTTTGAACCTTCATGGTGAGATCCCAAGTGATGCAGATAAAGTATGGTTCGACTCATTGTTTTTTTTTATGCGCATAAAAAAGTTTTTTTTTTTTTTTTTTTTGATTACTCGTGTCCCATGGCTCTCAATCTTTTTTGCTGACATAAAATACCATGTTTGTGCTTGTGTATTCTGTGTGAATGTGTGGAACACGTGTATAGAATGTCTGTGTCATGAACGCTGAGGAAAAATTCTTGAACCACCTCAAGGATATTCATTTGGCTTTCCCAAAACTCAAGATTATTTTGGAGCATGCAACTACGGAAGCAGCTGTGAACATGGTCAAATCCTTGGGTGACACCGTTGGCTGCACCATCACTGTGCATCATCTGCAGTTGGTTGTTGATGACTGGGCTGGCAAGTGCCACAACTTCTGTAAGCCCGTCGCAAAGTTCCCTAGTGACAGACAAGCTCTTCGCAATGTTATCAAGGAGGGTAAGTTTTACATGTATCTGTATAAAGATATTGATCTATTGCAGGTGACGATGTGGAGTAAGATAATACAGGGAGTTGAGCTTTTTTTTTTTTTTTTTTTTTTTTTTTTTTGCATAAAGGTCATCCTCGATTCTTCCTGGGTACAGACTCTGCGCCCCATCCTTCACACAAGAAGGAAGGACCTGAAGCATGCGCTGGAGTGTTCACGACCCCATTGGTGTTGCCCTATTTAGCGACGATCCTCGAGTCCTTTGGTGCATTGGATCGTCTGCAAGACTTTGCCTGTAACTTTGGTCGTACGTTCTATGAGGTTAAAAATGAGAAATGGGTTGGACAGGTGACTCTTGTGCGTGAGACTTGGGATGCACCTCAGAGTTACTCCTTTGGGGACGCGAGCGTAGATGGCGAGGAACATGGCAAGGTGGTTCCATTCATGGCTGGCAAACCTCTGGCGTGGAAGATTGCATCGATTGCTTAGATTACTTAGATGCCTAGATGCCTCTAAATGAACAGCGTCCATATAGTTGTACAATTCATTAAAAAGAAAGAAAAATTAATCATGCAACAAGAGACAGCGCAGCTATTTCAGCTATAGTCTGGAGTATTACCATCGAAGGTAACTATAGTCTATTGTACAGTCTACGCGCAGCATTTGGGTCAAGGGAAGACAAATAGAGGTGTCGAACTGTTTGCCAAGACCAAAAAAAAAAAGTATGCCATCATCGCCACAGCCATCCATTGTGATACGATTCAAAAAAAAAAAAAAAAAAAAAAAAGTGCAAGACCAGATGTGTTCCACCACGCGACAGAGTAGGACAGAAACGACTAGTAGGAGCATAAGAAATCAACAAACCAAAGCGCGTGAAGCAAACTACTCGAATAGATAGATAGAGATTAAAAAAAAAAAAAAACCAGAAAGGAAAAAAAGAGAGCACGAATACCTTTCGTATACCTTGATGGGATTGGCATGAACAAACGGCATATCTCTAGCCAAGTATGCATGCATATTGACACTGCATTGCATCGAACGCAAAAAAGACACATGTACTTTTCCGCGTTTGTTATTTTACTATTTTACTGTATTTTACCGTCTGCCTGCCTTTTTGATGCATAAGCTAGTTCCTCACGCGTGTCATCTGTCAGTTCACATCGTTGACTCGCCTCTCCCTCTCCCTCCCCTCTCTGTATCTCCATCGAAGCATGTGCCTGCTTTTTTTAATCCTTTTGAGAGTTGAGGACTATAGAGAATGAAAGCACAAAAATAGTTTACTTTTTTTTTTCGCATGGCGATATGCGCATGGGTATATAAATGTGTGTGTGTTTTCATTGAAGAAAATGAGTTTTCCTTCACTCCTTCTTTACTTTATTCACCTTTTCTTTTTTTTTTTTTTTTTTTTCCTTCATTGCCTCTCTTGTTTTTCATTCATACAGCATTCATATACACATCCATATATCATATTTATCTTCTCTATACTCATATTCATTTTGCCTCCACACTCTTACACTTTCAACATCAAAGAAATTCAAAATGGCTGCGTTAAAAGCCATGCTTCAGCTTCAGCTCCAGCTTCGCCCTGGATCATCGTCTTCACCAACGTCCCTTTCCAGCTCCAGTTCTCCTTCTAGTTCACCTGCAACACATGCTTTCCTTTCCCCTCTCCACTCATCATCCGCCACTGTAGACACGTCTTGTCTCTCTCTTTCTCCATGTCACTCGCCCTCAACGCCCTCTATTCTCTCCACTACATCAACTATCACCCCCACAACTACCACCACCCTCACCACCACCACTGCCATGATCACTCAATACAATACCTATACCAATACCAATACCGACACCAAAACAAATGCCAATACCAACAACAAATCCAAATCCAAATCCAATACCAATGCAAACACCAACACCAGTACTAATACCAATACCAATACCAATACCAATATCGGTGCCAGTTTCATTGCCAATATCAATACCTATACCAATAACAATAACACTCCATCAAAATCTTCTCCTACCAGTGCCATCCACACCACCACTTCCTCTCATACTAGCAAAAAGCCATTAAACCTGGGCTTACACTCAGGTGCTGCCTCTGGAAACTTAGGTAAGGCAAGCCTCAGTCCCACACACCCCTCCCCTTTATCATGTTATGCAACTCTATCATCTCCTACGAAATAAAACCACCCTCTCTTTATTCTTTTTTTTTTATTTTTTATTTTTTTCCTCTCTTGAGAGTGTCTGTGCAGAAAAATCTGCCTTTATTTTTTTTTCTTTTTTGGGGGGGGAGGGAGAAAGAGAAGGGAGAATGTAGGGATGTTGTGTGTTTATGCGTGAATGAATGAAGGTTTGTACGTAACATGATACGCTGCACCAGTAAAAAGAAGTTCATCCCGCGAGCTCTCTTTTGCTGTTCTCCTTCCCGTCTGAATTTACTTTCTACCTTTCTGTTTGTCTAAGAATATTTGGCAATCAAATTCCATCCGAGAAAAGATAAGAAAAAAAGTTATTGTTACCGCTGTTTGCTTGTTTGTTTGGGTGGTTGGATTGGTTTTTTTTTTTTTTTTTTTGTGTTTGTCACGGAAGTCATTCCTCAATGTTTGGCAACCGTGTGAATCGTGGGTGTCGAAAGTGAAAAAGATGAAAGAGAGTTGTTTTTTTCCCCTTCTATTATTTGTTGATTCTCGATCCTCTTTTCCTGAAAAGCGTTTCCCTTTCTCCTTCATCTAGTACCGACTTTTTTTATTTTTTTTTTATTTTTAAATAGACTTGATTGATGCCCTACTCAGAGAGAGAGAGAGAGAGTACTTGAAGGGGAGGGTATGATCGAGTTTACTGCACCGCTTCATAATCTAATAGTCTTTTTATTACTATTGTTTATTTTCAGGTCTTGTCAAGTTTGCATTGGACAATGGTCAAGCAATAGATTCTGCCTTCAATGGGGTCCTTCCGATCCATGCAGCATGTTGTAGCAATGCGAATGTGCCTGTGGTCCTATTCCTGATCGATCATGGCGCAGATGTTAACGTGCGACGATATCCGCGGAAATATAGTGGTGACAGAGTTGGGTACGCTTGAGCTTTGGGATCATTGGGAAAAAAAAAATTTTTTTATGCGCATGGGCCATGTCTGTATTCTCACGAGAGTCTGGGCTGAGTTTACAGTCAGCTTTGACCACATTATCAGTCAGGATTATGATGATGGTCAGCAATGTCCTGCTCTATACCCTCACTCCTTCCTCTCCTATGACATAATTGCTGTCTACTAATCATTGTTTATTATCATTCTCATTTTCTAGTCAAGCAGTAGGGACAACAGGATGTACGCCCTTGCACTTTGCAGCTGCCAATGGATGTCTTAGCATTGTAGAAATCCTTCTACGCCATGGTGCCGTTCCTGACTTGGCAGACAAGGCAAGTGACATGTCTTCATTTCTACTTAAGCAAAAACAAACAAACAAAAAAAAGCTGTTCATACTCCTTATTAACCCTGCTTCGTTATTACGATCAATCACAACAGTATGGCTCAACACCTTATTCTGTTGCTATGGCAAGAGGCCACCCCGAAGTCGCCAATTTACTCCATCTACATGTGTCTATGCAACGGGGTATCCAAGTAATGACCCCAGAGGATGACCTCAGAGATAGTCGGGACAGGGACTCTCTCTCTAGTCCAAGGACTAGTGGAGATTTTAGTCGTAGGGTCTCCGCCATCATGGCTCCAACTCGATCCTGCACTCAACACTCCGAAGCCACTTCGCCATCCACATCCACCGCTACAGCTTCAACTACATCTCGATATCTCAATCAGCGTCGTGTTAGTCTACCCTCCATCATGGAATCACCATCATCGCCCACTGCCCTTTCCGCCCCAAGACAATCATGTGATCTGTCAAGACCACTCTCGAAGGAATCATTGCCACCGAGGTCAGAATCGGTTGATCCTCGACTCTTGACCAACGCCCAGAGGAAAGCAACAGCAGCACCTACACCTACTACTACTACGTCCGCCTCGCAAAGTAGAACGAATACAACAATGAAGGACAAATCGTCTCAAAAGTCACAAATACTACAGGGCTCTCTGCCCAGTCTTTTAAGCACATTGGAGCCTACTCTATCCATCGCCAGTGCCAGTAGGCGTCGATCGATCGATGCGTCTACAGTATTAAGTATTTCACCACCAGTCATGGCATCTGCTACTCCACGATCATCAGTTCTTCGTCGCGTATCTCTTGATCTCATTAGGTCTGTACGGCCGCCTACAGATCCCAAATTTAGACGAGACTCGGATGCTTCTACGTCTGATACTATCATCTCGGACCCATCATCATGCTCTACTCTAACCAGTCCCATGACACTCAGTGGAGACGATAGTCGGGCGCAGTTAGAATCTACAATCCCCGGAGAGTCAACGCGATTAGGAACGAACGACCGCGTAGAATTAAGTCCAATGGAACGCTCCATTTCTCAACCTCCACTGTCGCCTTCTACAAATGGAGCGCTACGCAGAGCAGCTGAGCGCGCTGTCTGTCAATCATTTGACCTTCGGATGTTTGCATCACCTCTAGAGAATGTCGAAGCTGAGAAAGAACATGACGGAAGTAGGAACGAAGATGAAGAAAGAGATACGTTTGTTGAAAAGAGTTTCCGCCGGCGTAGCATGCAAGAGTCCCTCTTTGGCACAAAGCTCAGTGGATTTAATGATGAACTTTCATTTTTCGCAAATCGCTCTTCAAGGATAACTTCGTCCATGTCGTTGGCCTCGCTCCAAGATTTATCAGGCAAGGATAAGGATATAACAAAATCTTCCAACAGCAATGCCAACAACAACAGCAATGCCAACAACAACAGCAACAACAACAACAACAACAACAACAACAACAACAGCAACAACGGTAAGCTTAAGCCCCCCTTCTCTGGTAGCGCAACTATCTCGGGACGGTTCTCACGATTATGGTTTAGTGGACCAGCGAGAGAGATCCAGGAGGAGGAGACAGGAGGAGGTCTTCATGGTCAAGATGGGTCGACAAGTTCAATCGAAACTGGGCAATGGCATATTAATGAAATGACAAGGACTAATACCACTAGTTCTGAAGTCAAGGCACGTGTTGGTATGATGAATCGCCTATCAGGCATGTGGACGCGTCGATAACCTAAGAACATCCTTGTTGGAAAAAACCTCGGTTTGTTTTGTACTATAATCCAGTATACAATACCTCATCCAAATAAAAAATAAAAAAAATAAAAAAAAAATAACCACTTTGCAAGGGAACAAATGATGTAAACAGAGACCAAGGGACCGTTCCTTTTTGTTTATTACAACCCCTACCCCTATTCACTCAATACGCGTCAACGTCCCATTAAGATTCCTCTTTTTTTTTTGTAAAAAAAAAAAAAAAAAAAAAACTGAACGATGCAGGTCAATAGGGAACATTTTCTCAACTTCCTAATGGCATGTGTCTTCTTCGAGTATGGAGCCGATACGGAGCCAGATTGGATTCACGCCATCAGTTACAGTGACCTAGCAGCCATTTTTAACATCGTGGCTGAATTCAGTCGCGATTACAGTGAGCTTAGTATTCCTTGTGAGAAATACATTTACCAACAAGGGCTGAAATGGGAACACAACATGTCAGCCTTCATGGCCGGTTTCCGTGAAACGAATCGTCTCTTTCCATATGTCTGTGAAGACAATGGTAATGAAATATTGGTTCCAGGGTTGTCCCCTATTAACGTCCAGGACTTTTTGTGGCGCTATGCAGAACAAGTCGCAGACGAATACAAAGATGATATCGCGATCCTCATCAACAAGCTAAGATATTCACTCCGAGATATGAAAGGCTCTGGAGGCATCCTTATACAAATCGAGGGTCGTCGTAGTGGATGTTTAGGGGTTCTGAAATTTACTGCTGCTCATAATCGAATCAAAATGAGCAGAAGACGTCTACGTGAGGCTGAACTGGATCGACAGCGTGTAACAACAAGTCAGGAAACAAGAACTGTGACAGAGCAGCAAAGACAGCATCAAGAGGGACTACAGCTTCAAGACGAAGCATTGCAACGACTAGAAGAACAACGAATAATGCGTCAGCTCAATATCAACATGTATCAGCTAGAAAAACGAATTATGAATTCCACTGAGCAAGAGGATCGGGTTTCTAGTTTTGTGACCACATTGAGTGACCAACTGAACTCTTACTTCTCCATCAACAGCTTGACAGTCCATCTTTTGGGGTCATTTGCCAATGGATTAAGCTCTCATGGCAGTGACTACGATCTTACGGTGGAAGATCTCGATAACATCTTGGGCGTACATCGCCTAGGAGACGCGCTTCGATACCATGGTTACAAAAATGTGTTTGTTATCCCGAATGCCAGGGTACCTATTGTGACATTTCGAAACCACGAAGGCGTCAACTGCGATATCAGCATTAATGCCATGTTGGGCGTCGAAAACTCAAAACTCATCAAAACCTATGTCAAGATCGACCATCGGGTTCGTGTCGTTTGGTTTACATTGAAAAAGATTGCAGAGAAATGCGGAATCCTCTCCGCCAAACACGGATTTCTCAGCTCATACGCCTTAACGCTGATGTTGATTACCTTTCTTCAGTCCATAAAGATTCCTGTTCTTCCTTCACTACAACAGCAGCCCGCACGCAGACTGGTGAGCAAGCAGGCTGAAGGCGTACTTTGCTCCTTTGATCATAACTGGTCCAATTATGTGGCCCTGGCAAACTACAATACATCTACCGCTGCTGAACTCTTACTAGGCTTTTTGACTTTCTTCGGAAACAATTTCGATTATGCAAAATGGGAGGTCAATTGTCGACTGGGCCAGATCCGGATCCGAGAGACCATAAATTCAAATAACCGACGCCAATCCGGAGGGGGGTTTTGGGTCATGGATCCTTTTCTGATCAACAGAAATGTCGCAAACATGGTGCGAGGACAGAATGTCATCAAAATTAAGTCCTCCTTCCAAAGCGCACACCTTCGGCTTCAAACCGAGGGATGGAGCTTTTTCGATTAGTCGATTAAAAGCGATTTCTCTGAACATTGTCCCATAAATTACAAAAAAGAAAGAATAAAAGTAAAAAAAAAGAATAAAAAAAATTAAAAAAAATAAAAAATAAAAATAAAAAAAATAAAAAATAAAAATAAAAAAATAAAAAATATTTCAAGTACGATTTTTTTTACTTTCTTTCCAGGTCTTTAATAGATACTGTTCTATAACATTTAAAAAAGATGTTTATCATCTTTGTCCTTGGTACTCTTCTTTTCCTGTGCCTGCTTTCTCCTCTTGGCGGCCGTCGATGCCAAATGTTGCTCCAGCAAGTCTCCAGTCTCTTCACGATGACTCTCGGGTCGTGATGCTTGTAGTCCATGTTCATACTTCTCCTGAAGTGTTTCCTGGTCCATCTCCACCAGTTCTGAAGGATCCAATGCTGCTTCAACGCCAAATGTCTTGCGCTATTTCAAGTCAAAATACATAAATGGAGATAAATTAATTAGCTATACATTCAAATTGTTCTCCACCAACTAAACGGCAGACCAACAGGAAAAAAAAAAATAAAAAAAAAAATAAAAAAAAATAAAAAATAAAAAAAAAAAAAAAAAAAAGGGGAAAATAAAATGTTTACCTTCTTAGATGAAGAAGATGACGACGCAGTAGTCGACGACAAATCGTAAATGTGCTGTGATCCCATGAATCCTGTAATATTTGTCTGCTTCTGAGGAATAACAGTGTAGAGTGACTTCGGTGCACCATCATCTTCATCCTGTGTCCTCCTCGTATCCTTTCGAAGCTCAATAAAATCAGGGGTCTCCAGTCCACTAGCAACACTTTGCATGCCACTAGGTGTGACCAGGCCTTCCTGAAATTCATCCGTATCCTCGTCCTTCTCGTGCTGCCCAGTTTCTCGCTCAGCCTCCTCCTCTTCTTCTTCCTCTTCCTCCTCCTCCTCCTCCTCTTCTTCATCTGGATCCAACTCTCCCCAAAGTGATTTCTCAACTGGTTCCATGTATTCAGAATTAATTTGAGTCTGTGATGATCCAAAGACATCTCCATACAAAGGACGGTTGAATTCGTCTACAGGTGGTTTACCCCATCCACCTGGATGATATCCCCATTGTGCTCCTTCTGGAATGGGCGCATTCAAACCTGGGATCTTCAAATTTTTATATCCTGGTGGTGGGCCATACCGTTGCATATTAATTAACCATGGAGGCGGTGCAAGAGGTGGAATAGAGAGAGCTGCTATGAGTTCTTCGGAAAGATTGCCTGGCTTGACTTCCTTAGCTTTTGTTTCAAACTCTTTCCCTTCATGATATCTATAGGATCAGAATGGAGATCATACACATTAGAATGATCGGCTTTTTTTTTTAAAAAAAAAAAAAAAAAAAAAAAAAAGACAGCATACAGTTCTCCATGCATCGTGAGACGGGGTCGAGTCTGGTATCGGAAAAAGGCATCATGTAATTTTTGATAATCAATATCAATCTTGCCCATCTTTGGCTGGACTCTTTCTCTTGTCTTAGTCTTCAGTTTAGAAGCGTCTTCCTTCTCTTTAACTGCATTCCTGAGCTCCATGATCCCTGTGTCTTTAATGAACTCTGGCAACTCAAACGGCTGCTTCTCAATACCACGCTTCCCTTGTAAGTACTTGCGTTTTTGACTCCAGTGAGCTGGAACCGGAACTGTATTGCGGTACCCTTTTAATTGAACCAAGAGGTTTGGATCTGACGATGTCACATCAATCCACTCTACAACCTCAGGATGTTTTGCCAACTGTTTCAATACCGCAACACTCATTCGATTCAACCGCTTGAGCTTTTTTTTACTAGCCGCTTGCTTTTCTGCCTCCTTCTCTGAATCAGATCCAGAATCATCACTTTTCTTATCTGCCTCCTTTGCATCCTGTCCCTGGGCGCTACCATCTGCCTTTTCTTGCTATTGTCCCATCAATATGAACAACCAGGAGATAAATCTTATTAATAGCTAGACATTAGGGAATAAAAATAAAAAAAAAGTCTTCAAATTTTTTTGCAGGCTGTAAACTCACGTCTGTCTCTTGATCTGCCATTTGAAAGTGCTTGAACACTTCCTGAAATGCCTCAAACCCCTCCAGTTCCACAGGCTTCTCGGGAATCCATTCTACTTCAACGTTCAATTTCTGTAAAGATACAATTTAAAAAGGTATTAAAAAAAATATTAGCGCTATTCGATGTTTCTTCTCTGGAATCATATATCGTGAATATGCAAACCAATATTCCCTGCTTCTGCATAACTGGCAACTTGCTAATTAATGACTTAAAGAAAAGCCTACCTCCTCATTATTGTCTTCTTTTGCTTCACTTCCGTTCTCCTTTTCCTTTTCTTTTCCTTGAGCGTTAGCAGCATTATGAGCCTTTTTCTTCTTTCTACGTGTTTTAGTCTGTTTTTTATTGTTATTGGTCTGCTGTGTGCCTGATTGACTGGCAACTGTCGTCAACTCTGAATCTGTCGCAGAGTTTGATGCTACGCTCTCCTGTGTGGTGATAGCCATTTGGAGTAGGTGTAGTCGAGAAGCAATTCGAAATTAAAAAGAAAAAGGGTGGAAAGACTGGGAGGGAAGAAAGAAATTTAAAAAAATATAATTACATTCGCTTCAAAATCTTCAAAATGTAAATGATACTGGACAGCAAAAAAAAAAGCTTCTTTGTGTAAAGCTTACAAGTAAAAAAAAGATGTAGTTGTGGCTTTGATACCATTGTTCGCTTTGTCTTACACCCCTTAACTTTATTATATTAACCCTCACGATCTTGATCTCTGTTCCCTTGGTTGCTGTGGTCTCGAGCAGCCTTATTATCATTACTGAACCACATGCGCTTCGAGTACTCTAGCCTCAATAGCAGCTGATCTAACTGTCGAATCACATCGAATGATTTTGCTCCGTTACCCAACAAGCTTGAACCCAGCCCAGGGACACTTCTTTTCAATATAGGGCCGTCCCCCAAGGATCCTGATCGCGACACTGCTGACAGATCAGAAAACAATTTAGTGATGTTAGCCCTAAAGACTTGGTTCAAGCGGCATAGTTCTTCCCAGTCCTTTCGCACGTCTTCATCACGTTCTTTCTTCCCTCGCCCAAACTGGAAGCCATCCTGACCAGCAGCACGGCGTCTGACAACCTCACAAAAGATCTGTGCCCCACACAATATATTCTTTATAGATAAAGATAAGTTTTCTGAAGTCAAGAGAGATGCCCGACGGATCTCATACAAAGCTTCTGCATGATAGTTATAGATTGAGTCGAAACTCTGCGATTCACCAAAGGACGGAGCATTGTAGAGTGATGTTGACGACGATGATAAGAAGGATTCGCTCTGACCCGTCTGAAGTGCAATAATTCTTTTTAAAAGACCATCATAAGTAGGCGCAATAACATCCATCTACATATGGAGGGACAAATACAAGTTAATGGAACGTAGATATACACATATGCAGTAACCCGTCGGGTCCCCCCAAAAGAGAACAATCACTGTCCCGTACCTGGAGATAGGTCCACAAGCAATCGACAACGAAATTCATATCTGAGCGCATTGCAGCAATATGTCTTAACATATCTGATTCTTTATGATATCTTTGAGCATCATCATCACCGTTTTCTGCGTGCATTATCTCTTTGAGTTGACGACTGTACTCTCTGATGCCTTTGCCGCGTCTTCTGGTGTTTCTTTGCTGTTCCATAGACTTGATTTCCATCCATGCCTGTTGTAGCTTGACTTGGGTCTTACGGACTGCCATTAAAAAAGCAAATAAATCACTGTATAGATTCAAATCATCGATCGTAAGGAAGAAATCAAGTGGCCACGCTAATGAATAACAGAGGCGTACTGGAATTCCAAGGAGCTGATCATCATAATTTCCTCCTGTTTTCATTTGAGTCTCTTTATCTATAGTCCCATCATCATCCCCTACATTTCCACCTTGATCTGTCGTAGGTTTCTTGAGTATCCGAAGCTCAAATTTCAATAATTCTGGATCTTCCTGTGCAGAAGTACCTTGAGCAGCCTTCACAAGTAAACCTCCTAGATCATGGTCGCGTATTGAGCCTGTAGAAGTGGTCTGGATAAAGGAGGCTTTATGTTGTTGTTCAAGTGTCGAGAGTCGATTCTTATTAAAGTCCTCTAGAGCACTGATGAGTCCAAGTCCGAAATCCCCATTGCACAACAAGAAATATCGTTTGAAGGATTCAAAAGTTTTGATGATTTTCTCTCCTACTTGGACCACAACCCATAAATGGTTCGCAATATCTTTCCGAATCCGATGAATGGCGTGTGAGAGGTGATTCACGTTGAATGTTTTTGATTCTGCCGTTCGATAAACCAGAGGGAGAATCAGATCTCGATGGTGCGATGTCATCGAGGGAGGAATTGGGATTGGCTTTGGTTTGGCTTCACGTGCTGTAACAATGGCCTTGCCGATAAAAAGCATTTCGTGTGCTAAAGTGGTAGGGATCATGATTGGAAGCATGGACTCGTCTAAAACGTATTCCTTATTCCATTTGATTGTTGTCGAGTATGGAGCTGAATTTGCCGCGTGCAACTCAGAAGAACGTGTATTTAGGGATTCGAACGACCTATGTGATCGACGCCCCAGCTCGCTGTTGTATTTCGCTTCTGAGGGCACTGTTGAAGACTGAAGCTGGACGATGAAAAATTCGTCGAAAGGGTCTTGAATTTGTCCATACACCGTCCATGACACTATCTGTCTCATCATGACCCCGCAGCAACCCTGAAGCAAGTCATCCATCCAATCTTTAAGTAGGGGCACGCCAGATGCAGCCTTATTTTGCAGGTGATTAATTAGTCGACCCCCAATAAATGGTGAGCCTGAAGAGTACGCATCTTCGATCTCTGATATGAGACTGGTAATCGCAGGGAATACGAGCTCAAAGGGAGCAAAGCGAGATATAATGGTGGAAAGCGGAACAATGCCACCTAGATTGTCTTCTCCAGAAAGAATTGCCGTCTCTGTCTGGATGATAGTTTGTCGATAACTGTCGAGACGATGCTCAAGAGTACTGGCCAATGCCTTTAGATATAACCCCTGTTGTTGCGCATGGCCTTGCATCAACAACTGAGCGCGTAATGAGGCGGATGTTGCTGTGGGCGATCTACAGGAAGCAATAAAGTCCAAAAAGCGTCTGAAATAGAAGCCAAGTTGCGCCAGTCGGTCGAGACCTTCTCTTTCAGCGGGGTGTAGTAGCGCAAAATCAGTGATAGCAAATGTTGTTGCAATCTCTGGCTCAGGTGGGAAAGGCCGAAAGATGTCACCAGGGTAACCAGATAAGGCGACAAGTAACTCGTGTAGCATGACCTTTACATCTCTATGCTCATTGTGAGCAGTAAATGAATGAATCTTATGCTGACTTGACTCGTCTACTTATTGTGGCTTTTTTTTTTTGTCCTTTTGTTCTCTCATTCATAATCTCCAAGAATCAGTTTGACCTGAATGGAGCCATACTATCCACCTTCACTCGGTTCAGACGATACAGTCTACAGTGCAGATAGTATTGAGTTTTGTCCATTCTCAAGCCACTCCAGCTTGCTAGGCTGCGGGACCTATCAGCTTGCGAAGGACGAGTCTGAGGAATATCAACAATCCTCACAGGAGCATCGACAGGCCAAAGACCACAAGGACCATAAGAATGATGAAGATGAAGACGAAGAAGTTAAATTTGATAAACCAATGCTTCGCTTAGGGAGGCTCTTGATGTATAATGTGGAGGGCCATAGTGACGAATCGCGAAAGCTGTGAGTGGTTTTAATTTGCTTACACGAATCGATCCCATAAGACTTTAGGCTCTGAAATCTTTCACGAGCCTTTCTCCGCTCTGCACAACTAAATGAAACTTGAGATGTCGATAGGAGAAACACTTCATGTATTCAAACAGCAGCTATCCTTGACATGAAATGGTAGGATGCGATATCAGCTTGACAGGAAGACATGTCTTTGTTTTATATCCCATGAAATAACGCCTAACATCTCATTCTCGCTAGGTCGCATCAACTGATCAATGGGCACCCAACGCTTGGCGTAGCAGATGCTTCGGGTGATCTTTCTCTCTATCAATTCAAAAACGATGGCAATGACCCGGAGCTCGTTATAAAGTATGAAACAAATACCGAAAAGAAGTTGGCGCTATCACTCGATTGGTCAAATCGTGTACAAGCAAGGTAAAATAAGTAAAACATGTAACATATTTATCCATTCGGTATTCCTCAGTGATTGATTTTTTTTCTCTTTCTTTTTCATACTATGAATCTAATGTCAGCGGAAACACACGGATTGCAGTGTCTTTGAGCAATGGCGACATTACCATTCTAGATCTTGATTCATCTATCCTACAAGAAAATCAGACATGGCACGCTCATGACCTTGAGGCATGGATTGTTGGATGGAATTATCATGATACCAATATCCTCTATACTGGGGCTGATGACTGTAGACTCAAAGGATGGGACATGCGTATGAATTGCAGCTATGCCACGTTTACAAGTAAAGCGTAAGTTTTTTTTAATAGCAACAATAATAATAGTTGGGACTCGTACTCTTTTGTTGACCCTGCTTATTTATAAACATCACTATGCTTAAATATGTAGACATACCATGGGTGTTTGTAGTATCCAATCCAATCCACATGATCAACATACACTTGCAACCGGAAGGTAGGGAAGACTTTTTCAAAATAAATAGTATAACACCTTTATATGTGCTGAGATAAGCGCTGATGACTTTTCGCCTTGTGAATAGCTATGACGAAAACGTGCTGATCTGGGATACTCGAAACATGAGGGATCCATTGTCGAGAACAGAGGCTGGCGGCGGTGTTTGGCGGTTGAAATGGCATCCTACACGTAAGGATACTCTTCTAGCAGCGTGTATGCACAATGGTTTCCATGTACTGCACTACACTGAGGATTGGCTATCCGCATCGATCGAGTCGAGCTTTACGGAGCACAAAAGTCTCGCTTATGGTGTGGATTGGTCCTACGCACCTCTAGAAACATCATTGTATAAACAGCCGTTGGTTGTGAGCTGTTCTTTTTACGATCATTTGATTCATCTTTGGTATGTAAATGCTTTTCAACCTTTAAAGAAGTGATCTATTGGGACCATAGAGTTCCTGATATATTAATTAGTTCTATTGGCTATTTAATTCATTTACCGTAGGCGACCGAAAGCATAAAAATGTCACCAATTACCTAACCTCACACGTTAGTCTACAATTGAAATGGATTTTGACATGGAAATATGAAAGCAATAAAAAGTCCTACACTAACAATGGTGAACTAATGGAGCTCTTTAGTTGACTAATGGTTAAATTAAGACCATTGGCCTTAGACTCCAAGAAAATATTCATCCACAGAATTGACGAGTCGATTATCAATATCATCGTTACTACAGAAAAATATTACACTCCAGTCTCATTTTTTTGCAGATCAGGTCAAAAAAGTGGATTTTATATATTTGTATCAACGTCTATTGACCAACTCATTTCCACTATTATAAAAGAAGGTTAAGCGATTCTATTGGCTCACTACATTCTCCCTAAAGACAACAACTATTTTTTTTTTTTTTGTTATAATCCCTAAAGCATTTACAGACAGCCACAATTGTCTGACCATTGGTGGAGGGAGATCTCGTTTGACATCTTCCCCCAAAAAAGGAAGCCACCATGCCAAATGAAGTGTTAGTTCCTATTGCATGGCTTGGGTGCGTTCGTTTATAATTCGGCATAATCTAGGTTTACTATGAAGTATCCGCTTGAGCTTGCCAATTTCTTTTAACTTCCTAGTTTTTCTAGTTTTCCAGGTTGGTACCTTGCAAAAGGCGTTTATATTAGGTTAGTGGGAAAAAAAGGACAGAGGCTTAAAATTTTAATTTATAAGTGCTGAATACAAATATCCCATGACATGTATGGGTCTACAACTGCTTGTTACCAATATTTCTTGTAGTCAAGTAAGTTATGCGCTTTTTGCCAACTTTGAGGGTTACCTGATCCATGAAGCCGAGGAATCGGTACTTATCCATCTTTGCTACAGTCCGAAATAGAGCTCTTAAAGTGACCAGCAACAGCAACAACAACAACAACAACAGTAGCAGTGCCAGTATTAGAACCAGTAACAGGCCAGGCAGTATTATCGCGCGCATACCAGCTCATGGTATATCCACTCGGCTGATTACATCGGAAACACCTCAATCAGCACGTTCAGACTATGCCAGTGCTAATAGAGGTGGCTCCAACGTCGACAGAGGTGGGAACGTCAGCTCTGCCGTCTCTATGCCACCATTTGGTACACCTACTCCACCAATTATGTCCAGGCGTTTCCGAGTCGTTCAACCTTTCTACATTTATAATGACAACATAGTAACTGTGACGATGACAGCGTTAACCTTAGTATCAGGCAGAGTAGAAGTAAAAGTAGAAATGGTATTAAACGTGTAGGTAGAAGCAATGGACCCCGCTCATCTCCTCATGCAAGTGCCATCCCGGAAGGACCAAGGACACAAGGACACCAAGGCCTATTCTGCCTGCACCAAGTAGAGCACAAAACAATAAATGTGGCAGACTGATCTTGAGGCAGCAACTGGAAATTTGACAAAACATGATGACTACAGTGAGAAGTGTGCAATGGTACCAATCAAACCCAACACAGCTCAGTTCGAGAAGGATAACAACCTATCCTTCCGATATATTTCGAATCTTCTTAATAAAAGAACTATTCTGAAGTCATTGCCCGAAGGTTTGCTAGATTCCAGGTATAATGTCAGAGGGTCAATCCGTGAGTTCTATCCAGTAGAGCTGCTTCTAAAGGAGCTGGTGCTTGCCGCGAGGCGTATGCGTTTACCTATGGACTACTCTTTGCTGCGGTTTATGGCAAATGGAATTTACACGATACTTTCATTGCATAAGGGTGGGTTGAAGTTCCCAAGGTCAAAATTTTCAAACTCTTGGATCGCATCTTTTACCAAGGCCTGAGGTTTCTCGTATCATTAATTGATGGGAGAAGCAGACTCTGTCGACCTTACCAAACTTGCACTTCAGATTGAAAATATTAAAAAGATTACTTTCCAGTATTCACTAGCTGATATTTACAATGTGGATGAGGCAGATCTCTTTCTATAGGCCACAATGGCATGGGCTTTTGACCTGACTCTGGAGCTGAGAGCAGGCACAAAGCCTGCAAGCTCAAGAGTGTCCATATTACTCTGCTCCAATGCCCTGGGTACTGATAAGCGTAAGGCTTTCATTATGGGTAAGGAAGTAACATATTTTGATAATATCTATTGCTTCTTTATCACACTTATCATGTGCTTTGTTTTATTTTATTACTACAGAATTTGCCGAGTGGCTTTAAAGCTGACGAAGATCTAATGCAAGATGTTGATATACAGCCTTTGTCGCCAAGTACACTAATCGGAACATTGGGAGATACCCTCAACCAAATGCTAAGAGGGCTTCCGGATAGCCGGAGAAAAATAGATCTTCACAAACGAGCTGACTATATGACAGAGGTGCTTTTCCTTTACTGGCTCAAATGTTTTCAAGATTCAATTACGAAGGCTGATCCTTCTCATCCCATCCTGTTACTGATGGATAGTGCTACTCTTGTGTCGAAATATCCTCAGTTGTACCCAAATATCTAGTTGTTGGCGCTTCCCCTCAATTCCACCTCCGTCACGCAGCTGCTTGACGCTGGTGTGATCGCTGTTTTCAAGCGGAAATATCGAGCCCTCATCCTTCGTGAAACATTGGGGCGGAGGATTATGAAGTCGCTATACACTCTCGAAGATAACGAAGATAAGCTTTACAAGATCAATAATACCCAAGGGTGGTGGTTTATTATGAGAGCTTGGTATGAGCTCAAGCAAGAGACTATCCGACATTGTTTCCACCATGTTCCGATATTCGAAGACAGGCAAAAGGAATTGCTGCTGGCAAGCAAGACTGACGATTCTGATATTGTTGGGGCGCTAGCATATTTCCGAAACAATGTTCTATCGCTCTACCAGCTGAGCCAGGAGGAAAACGCCATTATGGATTCAGAGCTTCAGTCCTTACCATCCGACCTGTCTCAGTCCTTGCCATCTGATATGCCTCAGTTCTCAATCGTGTCAAACCCGACAAGTACCCAGCATATGTCCCAAACCGTAGTCGAGTAGATGCGTGAGGAAGAGGTGGCGCCATTACATCGTTTGCTTGATGGGTCTCTAATTCTTTGCTGGTTAATTGAAGAGCAAGAAGCTAGCAACGAGTATTTTCAGGTACATTTCATACAACAGGAAGATTGCTATTTGGGGCTCTACGAAATTGAAGCTGATTATTTAGGTTCCACTGATGAAGATCTTGTATTTGATGAACACAGCAGGTTCCTTCAGGTGGCGGTCAATGACACGGAATCATATGAAGGTGGCGAGGAAGCTCCTGTTATTATCCACGTAAGCTCTAGGACGTACTCTTCATCTAGCGCGGACTCTGAGGACACCAAGGACGAAAGGAAGACCGGTCCAGAAGTGCACGACAAGCTTATGGCTGCGGCTGAAAGCACAAAGAGATCAAGGAATAACTTAAGTTGTTAGCTGACGCTCATCTTGGTAGCGATGTCCTTGAGGTCGATCAAAGATATGTTGTGGAGGTTCGGAAGCGGGAACGAGAGCAGAGAGACGAAACAGAGCGGATTGATGCTCAAATCAAGGCCAGATTTCATGGTACAAAGTTTCGGCCACGCAATTTTGGCGGTTAGATATCTTTTTAATAAACGCAGTATGAGAGTAACAGTAGAGTAGATATTTATTTTAAAATCACATCTCGAGCAACATTGCCTCAATCATTCCGAGTACTGATATGAAGATGAAGCTTGCTTCTCTTTCCGTTTGCCGTCCTCAAAGGGCAAGGGGAACTATCCAAAAATATACACCAACATCATTCTTGCTCATTTAAGAAAAATTATTCTCCAGGATATGGCTGTACTGATGAAAACCACTGACGACGCTGATTGTTTTTACAAATGCACCATATCTGCCAGATGAATGTCTTTTGTTCGCCAGAGTTTATAGGGCTCAGTAAAAAGCTGCGCCAGACAACGAATGAGGCAAGATCTCCTTTGATGGATAGCCTTGCAGCAGAAGCGCGAACCAAGACGGACGAGCTCGCTTACCTGGGTGCAAGAGCATACAGATAGATATGTAGATAGCTATGAACAAGGACATGGGCAAGAGAGCATGGCTAGCGCTTCTGCATTTTTACAAGAGCAGGATTCATTCTCCAATGAAGTAAAGTGGGAGAAGGAGAGGAAGAAGAAGAAGCAGCCCAAAGAAGGCAAACTCAATCTGATATCTCATTAGGTAGGAATCACACGGAGGTTGAAAAGCAGCATGCAGTTACAGGCGGTTTGGAGTAAATAACGAATCAGATTGCCATGTCCTACCCTCAAATTGAATCAACCATTCCAACACACGATATGCTACCACAATCAGCGCCTCTTAACCAGCAGTGGAACGAGTAGTTTGTTGGTGATAGTCTCGCAAGGCGGCCCTCCATATAGGCCGGGAATAAGAATCAAGACGAATATAGAGTGCGTAAAAGATTCAATGCTCAGAAGAGGCAGCACTAGCTAATGAAGAAAGATCTGATTGAGGCAGTTTTAGAAGAGATATCAAAATCAACACGCATAAACTTAAAAGGAAAAGGAAGCTGGACCCTGGCGTCAGTTTCCGAGGCAATCACCATGATTGGGTCCAACAACGCCTTTGTCAGGGCCTACAAGAAAAAAGTTCATATTTAATAATAATAAAACTAAATTTGTTACTATCACGGGATGTAATTTCGGCATAAAGAACCACAGTTTGTTCTTGTTACAATCCTTGTGAAAGAAGAGCCAGCATTCCCAGTGAACATTCTTTCAACCAAACTATTGAGATGGCACACTCTACATGCAGTCACAAGCAAGTCTGTTAAAAATTAAAATCCATCTCGTCCTCGCTCACTAATTTTTAAGAATAATTTTATTTCACATTATATGGGAGTGGATTTTAGTTTTTAAAAAAAAGTGCAGTGTCCTGAGCGCCCCTGGCCATAGTCATAGCCAAAACGTCTTGTGTTGGAAAAAAATATTGTGGAAGGGTAGCAATACGAGTCTTGTGTCGAGAAAAAAAAAAAAAGATAGAGAAGTAGTGGTAGCGGTGGCGTTCTTGCAGCGTCTCCGAACCCCAAAAGATTAAGATAGAGGTATAATAGTTAGTATATCTGTTGATTGGCGGGAAGAGCATTAAGAGAAGCAAATAAGACGCTGAAGTATTTCTTTTGGCCAGAAATGGATTGAAGTAAGTATTAATACGCCTAATCTCTTGGGTAACATCATCATCTACATGCCTTTCGGTGGTCAACCAAGAGAAATGTGGAGGACTGACTGGACAAACAACTATCACGCACTACGCATAGATTGTGAATGTTGAGTGATGGCCCAGACTCCAAAGAGGTATAGACTAGCAGCTTAAGACTCGTCGGGGCTGCACTATCCTTACTACACCCACTCATAAACATGACCAATTATGCCATGGAAATGGGCGCTGTCGCAATACATTTCTGCTAAGAAAATAACCAAAGTAAGTCGAATACGCCTAACCTCTTGGGTAACATCATCATCTACATGCCTTTCGGTGGTCAACCAAGAGAAATGTGGAGGACTGACTGGACAAACAACTATCACGCACTACGCATAGATTGTGAATGTTGAGTGATGGCCCAGACTCCAAAGGGGTATAGACTAGCAGCTTAAGACTCGTCGGGGCTGCACTGTCTTTACTACACCCACCCATAAACACGACCAATTATGTCATGGAATGAGCGCTGTCGTGGCTATTTCATACCAAGCTCAGGGAACACAGAATTACAAACGTACCTTAAAATTGTTCGAATGAAAAGAGTAATGATGAAAAAAAAAAGAAAAGACATGTTATTTGTGGCTTGCGCAGGATTGCGTAATCATTAAAAAAAATTTCCTCTAAAAAAACATCTCTCTCACCACTTCCAATAAGGTTCAATGAACAGCAACAACGAAAAAACCTTGTTGGCGTTCCTGGATACAGTGAGTGCCAGACGAAGATCAAGATCCTGTGACTTTCTTTGAATGGGCAGGCTATCCCTCTCGGAAGAAGGGACATGCGAGTGCTATTTGGAAAACTTCTGTCCGCAGCTTTGATGCCAAGAAAACACTTGCGTTGGAAATCAAATGGGCGGAATCTAAGGAAAGAAGGAACGAATATTGGAAAAATTTGCGTCGGAAGGAAGAAGCTGATAAGAAAATGGTATGCCATACCTCTGTGAAAATGATTAATAATAGCATATTCCAATAGCCTACTGATTCTTATTGCTAGGTTGAATGGTATGAGAGGATTGAGGATATCAATAGTACCGAGAAGGACATTGTAATTGAGCTTCAACATCAAAGGTTCAAGACGTACGTGGATAACAAAGCCTCACCATTTATTGTGAAGAACAAACCCTCTTCAACATACACATCTTCTCATCCTCCTAGTAAACGACTCCGCGAAGACTTTGCAGAAGGCAGCGAGTCATCCTGGGAGCTTTTGTCCCAAGGCGATATCGTTGATATACTGCAGGAGATGAGACCCCATCAATATATGGGCGAATTGTTAGGTGTTAAACAAGAGCATATATTCTCCTGTGAGATGGAAGATTTGGACATAGGAGCGCTCTTCACCCAGTATTTCCGAACATGCTGCCTCGAGTCATTTAAGCGTTCATACCCTGAAGATGCACTGTAGGTCGTTGTCGATGTTTTTGAGCCTGTTGGTCAAAGCAGGGCGACGGCTCAGGGACCTGGGCTTAACCTGCCCGGGCCTGCTCCGCCTGTTTCAAATGTGCTTCTCTAACCTTATCATCTTTGAAATTATTAGTGCGCTATCAGCAACCCTACTGATAAAGAAGGACTTTCGTTCACCTCGACTTCTCAAAGCATTTGGCAGCCAACGATTGACATCACTGAGAGACACACTGCTTAAGACAGTAGTTCCCGTCCTGAATGCTGCTTTATTAGAAAAGCAGCAGGCACTTGTGTCAAAATGGGTTGGATGGGTCGGTCTTGTTTCCGAAAACAGAGATGAGAACTTGGTCAAGCGAATGGATGTCTTAGATCGACTGCATAGTGATTGGAATGAGGCTAAAGACCTTGATCTTACTGCAATTTTCATATACATCATGACAAGTATTCAAGGACTGTTTGCATCACAAGCATTGGACTTTCTAGAGGCCGATGGCATTGCGTCCTTCGTCCGAAATCTGCTCGTGGCATTCCTACATGAAGTGGACTTGGTTCGATTTTCATGGTAAGAAGTAACATTATCTACATTTTAGGGCAATCTTTAGTACTACTTACCAGCAGGACTCGGCGTTGCGTATTTTTAAAATAGCGCGGACAAAGCCTCAATAGCCTCACGTTACAACAAGGCAATCAACCACCTACAGGGTCGATCAAAGCTGCCCGACATGGTAGGAGCCTTGACTTATGAAGGGGTTAAGATTGAAACTTTTTTTGGTGAGGCAAGTAGTGTTGCTGCAAAAGACCCATCCAAATATGGCGGCGATACTGTAAGATTAGGAGTTTTTGGCAAGAATGCCCATGATATGATTGACAACCTTGTGGATCTCGAGGTGCCACTGCTTCTCTTCAACATCAATGGACTTTTGTTGCAAGCATTTGTAATGAAGAAAGCCCAGGGCATATATATGATGACGGAGATCGGAACGGGACGAGTCCCTTGCTCTGTTAACGATCTGATATACCTCTCGCAGGATCTACCGTTTTGGTTGAAGATCAGAGAGATTGCTAGGAGGACATCAGCGTCTATTGTACAAGCAGTGGATGATGGCAAAGTTGACCATCACCGCAGGAAATCTTTTTACCCTGCTCTTACCACTCCATCGGCGAAGAGTGCACTAAAATCTGCGAAATAAAGCAAGTTATCGACTAGTCTGAAGCATTCTGCTATCCCTCTTTTTTTTTTTTTTTTTTTTTTTTTTTGGTAACAGTGGTAACGGTGGTAACGGTGCTGCGATATGAATGGTATGATCATTTCTGCATCACAGCTCGCTGAATACCGCGATTTTAACGACGGAGTCATGCTCTCCAAGATGCAAGATGGCTATTGAGAGGAAAATCCATAGTCTTGATTATTTTGCTCTGGATGGAGGCTATCTGCAATTTCTGCCTGGGATTGTTGAGAATAGTGACCAATTAAAAAAACCAAACTTCTGCTGCCAATCAAAAAGCCGATAGGGATAGCATTGGCTGACCAAGAAAAAAAGTACAACGAAATGGTTGGCAGCTTTCGCTCCAAAATAGAAAGCTGTTTTGGAGAGCTGCAGACTACTTTTACCAAATTTAGCCACATCGTGGTGAAGCGAGTGTCTGAAAAAAGTACTTTTCATTATAGCTCAAGCTATGCTGCTTGCTTCTCAATATTAAACCCATGGTTGCTTTGCGAGATATAACAATAGAGCCGCATCATGGCTTTGGATGCAAGAGGACTTTGACTATTCAAACGGTGGAGATGTAAGAATATCTCAGAAACCCAGCTCTCCAGGTTATGCTGTTAAAATTTATGATGCTCGGAGTATTTGTCGCCTTCAGGAATACTTTTTGAGCCTCGATATCAGCAATCCTCAAAATCTCGATGACGACCATGAGATGGCCAACCCCAATGATACATACAGAAGGCATTTTCAAAATTAAAAAGATTTTAGACCACCGAGGGGACGGTGATGGAATAGAATATCATGTTTAATGGAAGGGTTATAATAAACATGAGGCTACTTGGGAACCGCTTAGCAGCTTTAACCAAACTCGCGCAATTGATGACTATTGGAATTCAAAACGGACATTCTAAATCCTTTATGTAGAACATGTGCTATCTCTAATGATCACATACAAGAAGGTGGACTTCCGAGCCCAGGATCGATTCAGTCGCCCTGATAAATCACATAGAAATTAGCCTTACTTTTCAAAAAGAGACCGCCAACCTAGGAGACGCGTGACATTTATCTAACATGGACGAGGTAGTATGTTTTGATGGTGCAGTGTTTATGGCAAACACGTAGTGTGTCCCAATCCAATGGTGAGAGCAATGTCAATCGGCCCATATTATGGGTTGACTTGATGCATCAGCACCACACACGAAAAATCATGCCCAACGAAAATATGCAATATATTTATTTACTGAATACTCAAAAAGATCATCAGAGCACCTTGCATCCTTAATTGGCCTTTCTCCAATTGTTCCTTAAAACCTCGAATCAAATTTGATTTATCAGACATGGTTTGCTTTTGGATTTTGGGCGATTGCTCGGCTTCGGAAGTCTGTCTTTAGGGAGAATGTAGAATCGCTTAAACCTTTTTTTATAATGGTGATTTTGAATTGAATTGCATTGGCCAATAGGCGTTGACAAAAATATATAAAGTCCACTTTTTTGAGACTGGAATGACTGGAGGGGGTGTATGATAACAATAGTAGTAACTATGAGAACAATGAAATATCTTGTTGGGATTTCATTTTTATTTGACAAATTATTGTACATGGCGAAGTTATAGTCAAAGTAAAAGAGAGTCCCTTAAGCCATAATAGCTTCAATCTCGGCAATCTCTTTGGGAACGGTAGTCAAATTGTCAATGCCGGTTTCAGTTATGACAACGCAATCTTCGATGCGAACACCGCCCACCTTGGCGAACCGGTCAACAACATCCCAGTTCATATACTTGGAAATTGAAGCATTGTTCTTGGCAGTGTTCAAAATGAACTCAACAAAGTAGACGCCAGGCTCGACTGTGACGACAAAGCTGGGCTCGAGTGCACGGCGCATACGCAGGTACTGAAGGCCAGGGGCCTGGATGCGATCCACACCCTTAGGATAACCTCCAACGTCGTGAACATCCAATCCAATCATATGGCCGAGACCGTGAGGGAAGAAGACGCCGTCAATGTGTTGTTCAAGCATCTCCTCAACTGAAAATTCAGTCTTTAAGACACCGGCCTTCTGAAGGCCCTCCACGGCGATCCTGCTAGCAAGTCTGTGCATATCCTCCCACTGAACTCCTGGCTTGAGGGCAGCAAGGACAGCCTTTTGCATCTGAAGAACAATTTCGTAAATGGTTTTGGCATCGCCAGTATACTTGCCATTCAAGGGGAAGGTACGAGTGATATCGGAAGCATAATAGCCTAGCTCAGCACCAGCGTCGACCAGGCATAACTGATTATGGTTACCATTGAATGAGGCAGAGTTGCGTCCGTAGTGGAGCGTGGCAGCATTAGCTCCGACACCAACAATGGGTTCATAAGCCTGTGCGCGGGCACCGAAGCGAGCAGTCTCGTACCTGAACAGAGCATCAAGCTCAACCTCGGATTGGGCATTCTTAGCGGCCTTCATGAGAGCAATATGGGCGTTTGAAGAGATGTGGTTGATTTTGCGCATAGCCTCGATCTCGAAGGATGATTTGTACATGCGAGCCGTGACAATGGCATCTTTAAGGACTTCATCATTGATTGTCAAGTTGACACCTTCAGGAGCATCTTCTTTGCGAAGGACATAAAGAGTTGATGCACCAGATTCATTGATGGCTGCTAACAACTCTGTAGACCAGCGAATGCTATCTGCATCATACTTTGCGTGAAGTTCGGCTATAGTAGGGGGCATACCCATCCATACAATGTGATCATCAGGAAGCTTATAGGGCAAAAGCGTCATTTTCTGTGTCTTGATATCATAGACGACATGTCCATCATGCTCAGCAAGGCCAGTGAGGTAATAAAAATTGGACTCTTGTCTGAAAATGAGTTCCTATAAATAAAGATAATGAAGCGAACGGGTCAGATAGAAGTTAGTATTCCACTAATTCCCCTAAAAAGCAAAATCGCTGAAGGAAGTCCTTGCGGGACGAATGTTTATTTATTTTTTTTTTTTTTTATTTTATTTTTTTTTGTTTAAACGCACCACATCGGTGTCATGTCTCTCCTTGAGAACATCACCCTTGAGATAGACGAGGCCCTCGGTAAGGCCGAGGTTTTTGGCAACCTTTGACCAATGGTGTCTGGCAGGGTATTTTGTGATGGACATGCTTGGGTATCTACTGCAAGTAAATACAGTAAACAGGTTATTATCCACAATAGAATGCGAATGTGCACTTGTTGACCAAGTATTATTTATAACATGTATATACCTTTTAGAATTGAACGAAGAAAAGTGAGGTGAAATGAGGGAAATGAAAAGAAAGAAGAATCATTCCATCCCCACCCGTGGGAGACTACATTTTTATAGTACAAAAAAAAACTTTCCGTCCCACCTGCATACCCCACGATCAACAAAAAAAAAAAAAAAAAAAAAAATCCGATCCAAATCTAGCCAAAATCATGTTCATTTCACTAAAAAGGCAGATCTTTTAATCTGGTGACTGGGCCATGATCTTTATTGTAATTGAATCAGTTTTCCTTCGCTCTCGCTCCAAATCAGTTTTGTTCCTGGTAATGTTTCTTAATTTTTTTTTTCTTTATAGAAAAAGGATCTCTCAATACATCTGACAACTTGGAACCATAGTATGAAGTGTCTGTATCCAATTTACTCTAAATAAATGATGATATGTAGATATGCAGGGAGTCGGTACCCGGTTTTTGTTGGATCGTGTCTACAAGACTCTTATCCTTTCAGAGATCGATCAAAGTATCTTCCAGTTCGTCTACTTTTAGAGGTTATGCGCATAGCTTGTGTACAGCTTGCGAAGACAACATCAAAGCAAGTAAAATTGGATTCAGTGTCTCACAGATGTCTAGTGATCCAAATTAATATTTTGTTTTCTGTTCTATTATACCAACTCAGCTCTACATAATGCACAAAGTCGTCAGAGACAATTTCGTGATAGCGTTCGGGTTCTTTGCTTGGACGGTACACTGGTGTCTAAGACAACTAAAAAGAACAGCTACGCAATGCGGAGATGCTATGAAAACATGGAGCCTGGTAGATTGTTTTGTAATATTTATTTATATATTTGTACTACATATATTTATACATAAAAATATTTGTATATTTTAAACTATTTGATATACACATGGCAAATCTTCTACAACTTGGAATATATTATTATATATAATATAACATATACATATTCTACATGTATATGAATGGGTGACAAACCTGTTGAAAAATTCTCCCTCCATGTTTAGACACAAGACGGTGTAAATGTATACATGTACCATAGTCGCAGTTTTAGTTTAATATTTCAAATCGAGGAATAAAATGTTCAGCCTAAAAAGTTTCCGGCTCCCCGAAACATAAAAAACTCAGGCGGAGGATCTTCAAGTGAACATGTATACATTCAAATAAAAAGAATAAATAAATAAATAAATAAATAAATAAATAAATAAATAAATAAAACAAAAGCCATTGCTTTGCTACTCAGTGTTTGAGTGATATTCGGTAATATTTATTTCTTCTACAGAGTACATCAATGAATAGTTGAATGGAAATGGAGGTACAATATATACAACGTATGCGCATTACAAATACGTGAGATGAATAATTAATAAATAATTTACAATTTTCTTTTTTAAAAATACAAAGTGCAATATTGGCTTAAAGCGACTTCTTGATCTTCTTGAGTCCAAGACGTTGTGCAAGTGTCTTGCGTTGATGCTGTACAGGTTGATATTCACTATCGCTTAGGCTGATGGTCGTAACTGGATCTGCCATCGACATCTTCTCACCAGCCTGCCGCTGATTGATTTGACGTTTGATAATGCGCCGAACAAGCTTTCTGCTATTGCTATTGTTGTTGCTGCTGCAACCGTGGCTTTGATTATTGTCTGCGGAGTGTGGATGGAACAGCGCAGCAAGCCGCGCGGATGTTGATCGAGAAGGCCTGTTTGATTCCCGATCACTGCTGTCACTCGAAACACTGCGAATGCTGGACTGACAAGAGCTAGAGCGCGAAGATGAAGGGGACTCGAATATGATCGTTGGTGGCCCTACGTATGATCGAGCCATATGTGGATATTGTGCTCTCTCTTCTCGTTGCATTTGCTTCAACAGAACAGTCGCCTCTACCTGTCTGTCAAGGCTTGAGAAATTGAATACAGTCGAAAGGCCTGTAGGTGATTCGGAGAGCGGTACAAAGGCGTCAAAGCAGTTGATCCCAACAGTCGAGATTGGAGTGACGCCTTGTTGAGCAGCTGTACCGAGCACCATCACCTGTTCATCGAAGGTGACTTTTTTGCTGCCGTTAGAGCTGGATCTTGAAGGCGACCCGAAGCCGGGATTTTGATGAAACTGCTGTTGCACAGTTGATGCTGATGGTATTGGTTGTGATTTTGGTTGCTGTCTTTTTGGGACTAGATTAGGATAAAGACGTTCGTCCAAGACATCCAGATTGATGGTCATGGTCAGAAAGACTGCACCGAGCAGGAAGCTGTCCCAATGCATGATCATAGGTCCCAGTGTTTGGATCCAGACCAAGCCTTGCACTAAGGCTATCCAAGCAAGAGACTGTACAGCAGTCCAAATAGCTGAAAGAAGATACATGCTGACAGTCTTTGAAGCTGCACTAGAACTCTGAAGAAGCGCAACTATCAAAGGGTGATCCTCAACAGTAAAGCAGGTTCCCCCGAGTTGAAACGAGCGAGAAGATTGTGAATATGATTCTGGCGAGAATTGGGTTGGCGATTGAACTATTTTAGTGGAACATGGTGATGATGATGTAAGCGATTTAGGGTCATAAAAGACTTGTGTTGAATGTTGGATTGACATAGTGCATAGATATTATTGAAGGCGATTACTACGCCGAGGTGTGATTAAAGAAAGAAAAAGAGAAAAGAAGATAAAGAAGAAGAAAAAAAAAAAAGGCTCGGCTTTATATGTGTGGTGGCAAAATGTGAGAATGTGATTTGACTGAGTCAATGGGCTGAAGGTCGAATTTGATTTTTGTGTGACGAATAGGCAATGCCAAGGAAAGCAGAAATAGAAGGTATCGATCGAATGTATATGAAAGGCTGAGCAGACAAAGAGAGAGCGTGGTGGAGTTGCAAAGTCGAAGAAAGAAGAAAAGGTGGACAATAAAGAATGCATTAAGGAGAGGAGAGAATGGAGAAAGAAAGAAAGAGAGGAATGGGTATTTATTTGATCATATCAAAATCATGATTTATTGTCCCTTTCAGAGATCGAAAGAACAATTTGTCATTCACTCACACTCGTCCGACGCAATTGCGATTTTGTCAGCAATCATACATAATTGGAAATAAATATCTTCACAATTGCAGTCATGTCATTCTTGCTCTGACTGCTGACTGCTGAGACTTTTTAAAAATGCGATGAACCTTAATTTAAAGACTAATGTATCTATGATGCAAACTTATCAAAATGGCTTTTGCTTGTGCATCATGTTGTTCTCTAATGCATGTAGCATTGATACATGTATTGTCCCAACAAAGATTCTAATCACTTTACTTGACCCTCCCATGTGCGTTTTATTAAGTGCCAAGTTCCGTGCGTCCGGTTGCTCATGACATCAGGAACACATATTTACTCATATGTCTTTCTTGGCTTTCCCCTCCCAACCCTTTATTTTTAATCTCTGATTATTCCACTTTTTTTTTTTTTGTTTTGTCTTTATTACCATTATTCATGTATTTAAGCGTTGAACCCCCCACATCCCCATAGTTTCCTCTACTCTGCCAAGTAACTTGCCATCACTCATGATGACTCTCGATAATACCACCCACCTTGAGAATATGCTTCCCAATTGTGTCACAAGCAAGATCTGCTGTCTCTTAAAGATCAGAGGATCATACGCAAACTGCTCCTTCATGTCATTTGTACCCTTGTATAAACAATCAACACCTAGTCGACAATTGTTTTCTGTCACTTGCCGTGACAACTTCGGCTAGCGTCTCAATAGGCGGTAAACCAGAGTTCCCAGCAAGGGCAAGTGGAATAGCCTCTAATGCCTCTGCAAATGCATGCATGGCATACTGGTATATGCTCGATACCTCATCTGCTGCCTTAGACACAGCCAGTGAACGAGTAATCTCTGCAGCATCTCGTGTCCAGTCAACCAAGAATAGTAAAGAAATTAATGCTTTCACTTCAATAATGGTTACTCGAACTTTATCGATGTGGACGACATTCTGATTTCAGTCGTTTCGATTGGTAAATACCTCGGTTTTCTTTACAAAATAATACAATATTAATAATATTAATAATAATAGAGATTCTCCCTTGATTTCAATGTTATCGAGACTTCTATTGGAAAAGCCTTACTCTTAAATTTTGATTTTTTTCTGTAGCTATACGACAGAGCTGCGAATAATATTTTTACTTTAGCTAAAGTTACCTTGTCGTACATAGCTAATCAAGAATGGAATGCAGCAAGAGTATAGAAATGGTCTACATTTATTATCTCAGGGGCCTCAATCGCGGTAAAAAAAAAGGCACGGATATGACGCATCTCCAGAACATAAAGTAAATTAAACATCTGTTACATCCAGTCTACTAATTGTGCTATATTGTCTGTATTGTACGATAGTTATAATGAAAAAGCATGTTTCGCGAGTTAAAAAAGAAACCGACTTCGAAACATTATCACTGCACAGAAAATATATTAATACGTACTCTGCATTCTTATGGACTCGGTAGTAGTAATCAACATAGTCTGACAAATTAAGCATCTTCAAAAACTGCTCGTCATGTGTGATGACAATCAGTTGGAAGTTAGTTTGTTGTCGATGTCTATCAATGATCCTAAAAGAATATCAAGTATGTATGTATAAAATAATCAGTATTTGTTCTGGAAATAAAACTACTACATCCATAGGCAGAGCCCACAAACTTGAGGAACAGGGATGAACCTACATTCGAAGGCTTTGCGCCAGCTGGACAACGTTGGCTTCATCCAAGTTGGTTGTGGGTTCGTCAAGTGCCAGAATGCCGCAGTTTAGCGAGAATGACTCCGCAAGTGCTAACCGGATGATAATGGATGCGAGCACTTTCTGACCAGCACTACAGCGACCACGCATGTCAAGGGCCCGACCTCTTTGAATCATTACCACCCTGTAATTGTACGACTGGTTGGCTCTAAGTCCCTCTTGATCAGATCGAATTTCTATCGTATCAATGTCTAAAAAAAATAGGTAGGATATTTGATAGTGTTAGACCTCGCCCATGGCGTACCCCAACCATTCATTTACGACGTGTCGATATGATCATCAACTGACCCGTGCCACGATATGTGTTGGTCCATAACTCTTTGATAGTTTTGTTAATTTCCTCCATTTTCATGGAGTGATATTCAACAATCGCGCTCTGGAGAGCCTTGGCATACTTCTCCAGATCCTGCAAAGCTAGTTCTGTTGTCTAGATGTGAAATGCATTATGTAATATATAAATCACAATATATATTGTCAAATAGGCTTCGACTTTGCAGCTTCATCAGTGGCAAAAAATCTGAACTATAGCAAACAAACCATACCTTGTAGCTAATCAGGCTGTCGTGATACTTTTGGACCACATCTCTATATTCCCCGCTGAGTTCCGCTTCGTATGATTTTTTCTGATCCTGCAGTTGTCGTAGCTCACCTATCAAGCCAGCTCTCTCAGATGTGAGATCTGACTGCCTTTGGCTTAATCGATGCAACTGTCGGGAATACGTTGCTTGCGCCTCACGATCCTTTTTTCGATCAACTTCTGCAATCTTCTCCTCAAGCTCTTTCACTTTAGCTCTGTATCGCCTGTAACGCAGATTGTCATCAACGCTGCGCTGGATATTCTTGACATCTGCTAACTGCCCTTGCAACTCCTGCATTTGTTTTTCTACCGCGTGGAGCTGATCATTTTGCTGTTGGATTTCCTCAAGGTAATTGTCTGTGGCAGCTTCCAGTTTAGAAAGCTGAGTCATAGTAGCTTTTGTATCTACACTATAAATGCACAGGTCGTGGGTTAAGGGTGCTGTACATCACTTAGCCTGGGCCAGGGCTCTATCGTCCATAATTTGGGATCAACTTACCGCTCGATGTCCTTATTATACATTTGAACTCTTCCTAGCTCCTTTTGCAGCTCCGAGACAGTTTGTTGTATACTCACTTCTTTATCATGGCCTTCTTCTGTTATTTGCCGCAACAGGTCGTTTAGCCTGTTAAGTTCTGGTTGTACAACTTGGTTTTCAGTGTCATGCTGCTCAAGTTCTGTCTTCAAAGCCTGAATAGCTGTCTCGGTTTCCTTGATCTGCCTGTTGATTTGCTCGAAGCGTTCGCGGTGATTCAAAAGTTGGCCATGTTTCTCGTGCAAGGACTGGATGATCTTCTCTTTCTTCTGTATTTGGACTGCCAATTGAGAAATCTTCTGCTGTAGATCGTTTAAGTCATGGCGCGCACTCTGAACCTTCTGCTTGATAAGGCTATGCTCCGCTTGAAGTTCTTCAGAAGAATGCGTCGATCCTGCAATTAAGAGTTCTGTTTCAAGGCCTCCAATAAGTGATGCGTCCTTTTCATTTTCTTTACATAGCTCCGTTACCTCTTTCGCAATAGAGATGAGCCGACGCGCCCCTTCCAATTCAACACCCGCTGTTGCTGCGTTTATATTGGCCTGCATAGCACACGTGGATGCTCGTTAGTATCTTTGCGCTTAATCAACTCCTTCTTTCTCTCGCGTCTTTTTGTCTACATGGCCTTACCGCTTCCAATATCTTTTCAGCAGCTGCTTTCTTCTCTTCAAGCTCGCCAAGCTGTGCATTAAGGGCTGGTATATCGGCTGTTCTCAAACGTTCTGCAGTATCCCACACTGATTTTAAAGAGCGTAGCGTAGCTAAACTTGCTTCCGTAGCAACCAACTCCTGCTCATCATCGTTTTCTGCTTTTTCCATCAATCTACGGAGCTGAAGCGAAAAAAAGAAGATAAAATTAGAATGACACGGACACTGATCAACGTTTATTTCTTAGCATGAAGCTCTTTTCTCTCATTCCACAGATAAAGCTTACCTTGGCCGTGAACTGTGTTTCCAATGCCTGATCGAATCCACGGGAGCAAAGAGGACATGCATGTTTTTTCTCTGCCATTATCACAAAACGTCCATACATGGTGCTCATCGTTTTTATATCTTGCACATGTCTGGGAGGCATTAAAGCAAATAGAGCAAAATCAATATTACCATTATTATTATTTTAACCCCCCCCCCGAAATCTCAAGATTTACTTACTCACGCAATTCGACAACTGCCTCTTCCTTAGATGACAGAAGTTCCGGAAGGGATTCAGAGCCGCATTTTTCGGCAATCTGGGTTTCACAGTCTATATGACAAACCCATTTTGGCCCGAAGAATGGAGTCAAAACGAAAAATCGTATAGTGTATTCAAAAATAAAAATAAAAAAAAGGCTGCTGCAAAGGTTACCTTGAAGCGTTTTTGTGTCTTTTTGCAGTTGTGATCTGATGTTCTCAATCCGAATATCATACGCAGAACTCTCACGCCTACACTTTTCCAAGGCATCCCTGGCTGCTTGAGAGGCTGAATCCTTCTCTTTTAAAATGGGTGTTAGAATTGTCTCAAGACTTTCAGGTGCAGGGGTTTGCTTTAAGACCTTCAAAAGTTCACTTGAATTCTCTTTCAATCTGTTTACGCTCGAAGAAATTAGAAAGTAAATTTAAATTTAACGTCTTTAGCACTTAGCTTCTATCGCAGTAAAGGCAAAGCGTCGCTTACATGGATTGTATTTGCTCAACACGCTGGTTATACTTGGTTTTGAGTAATGTCAGTCTTGCCTGGGCGCCTGCATTCTTTATCTGCACGGCACTCATGTCACTGATCCTTGATAAATCATTCTCGAATGCCTCAACGTCTGCCATTTTAGATCTTTTTTGAGACTCCAGTGACTGCAGTCCGGGCTCAGTAGATACCAATATTGTCAGCTCAGCCTCCTAATGTTTGAAGCGGCCCGTAAAAGCGGTTTTTAGGGACGATCGCCCATAGATCGTATTTTGAACAATGAAACATACTTATGGAGCTATTGGGGTAAACGACAAGTCACAAGTCGCGAAGAGTATAGCGTAAAAAGACGTACCTGCTCCGATATCAGCTTCTTGTTAGCTTCGATATCAACTTCAGTAGAGCTGTATTTCGACAGCTCCATGTTCTGCATTTGTAACTTGCTTTGTGCTGTTGATAATGCTGCCTGAGTCTTTGACCGTAACGAAGATGACATGTCAATCCTAGCCTTCTTGTCTGCGATTTGCGACCGTATCTCTTGTTCCTTAGCTCTATTCTCGCTTTTGATCCGCTCCATAGCTGCTATCTTTTGTTGTATATCAAAGTCTAATTTGGTGACAAACCTTGATATGTCGGAACTCAAAAAGGGCATGGATTCAAACCCCTTGTACAAGTAAAGATCAGCCAACTCTTTGACCAAGCAGTCTCTTTCCGCTTGTTTCTTTTTGTTTGAGTCCAGTTGAGCTTTAAGCTGCCCAATAATTTGCTGATTGTTATTCACTGATGTCTGCAGGTTTGCAATGTGACTTGAAGCCTGCTGCCTTGCTCTTTCGTGCTTTGCCTTTTCTTGATCAGCAGTCTTGAGATTAAGATCGTATTTATACAGCATTTCCTGCAACTCAGAATCAGATTCTGTATAGAGAGTAAAAGTTCCCTCTAATTCCTGAATATTTGCCAAAACTGCCCGACGCTCGTGAGATAGAGTGCTTAGAGTCGCTTCGACCGACTGAAGCTCCTTTGTTTTTTCCATAAGTCGACTGACATCGTCTGCGCATTTGTCAATTTCAAGTTCAAGCTGTTCAATCCTCTGCTGTGCTTTCTCAGTATTTTCAATATTCTTCGAGAGCGCTTCTCGAATCTACCATGTACGATATCTATTTCAAGTTAGTTACTTAACAGAACCATATTTCAAAAGGCGTTCATCAAGCTTATATATTTCTTAAGCATATGCTTCTTGCCTTTTCGGCTTTTTCCTTATTTCTGCGAATGAACTCAAGACTAGTATGCATAACCTTAAGATCCTGCGCCTTTTCCTTCCTGATGCCTTTAATTGAGTCCAATACATTGGTGTACCTTAATGTAGACATAAAAGACAGCAGACGTAACACGCGTTAACGCTATTTGCACGTGTAGACTATTCCTCTTTATATATATGTGTGTATATTATAAAGAAGAAGAGAGTGAGGACCACTTACTTTGTTGAAGCAAAGATGTCGTCAAATTTCTTTTTTAGTACACTCGGTTCAGAGAGAGGCCAGTTAGACTCTTCTTGATGGCAGAAAATCACATTATCCAGGATAGCGCGCGAGACTCCCAGATGGTTTGGAACATCAGCATCTAACTCTGCGCATTTAGCGCTAATTGTGACAAGCTCTCCTGTCTGCGGATCTACTGCAGCTAACACATTTTCGAGTGTCTTTTGCGTATAGGCAGTCTTCTTTACAGTGACAGACAAAGAGCGAACAATGCTCATGGTCTGGTTGTTGACGTTCTTGAAACGAAGACGAACCTGTGCCTTAATACTTGGGCTATCAGACATCTGTGGTAAAATAAAAATAAAAATAAAAGTCCAAGAAACAAGAGCCTTAAGCACCTCGGATCCCTACTGCCCACAAATCTCTGTTTATTCATAAAAAGAGAAAGGAGTGCTATGCGGCCTCATACCTTTGGATCATTAACAAAGGCACCTCCTTTACTACCTGGAGGCATGTCTCCAGTGGTAGCATACTTCAAGCATTCAATAACTGTGGTTTTCCCGGAGCCATTGTGCCCTGTGATTAGGGTCAGAGGCGAAAAGAACGTGATGGTTGCCGCCTCTCCTGAATCCGATTCAAAAGAACGTATTCCACGTATCAACAACTATAAATCGCAGATATGACGGTTAAAATAAGATAACTTTTTTTTAAAAAAATGCCTAGATATAAACAAAGCTACTTCTTAAAGACTTTATATAGGATAGCTAGATTTCGCAAGGTCCAGTCTGCGCACCTTTTCTATCGAAGACATATTTCGTGGTGTTTCGTGTTTACTTCATGTAATTCATTTGCAAAATGAAATGGAGAAAAAAAAAAAGAGGCTAATGGTGGCAAATGGCAGCACGTGACAATCTTTGGCGATTTTATTATTTCAGTGAAATCACAATTGGCGCAACCTCCTCCATTGGAAGGTCTGTTCCTGTGTCCTTTGCAATGGTTGTATTAGCGGCCTCATCCTCATCTTTTGCCTGACTAGAGTCTGCGTGGTTATTGACATTGATGTCACTTGCAGGGGGGTCCACATCTATTGATGAATCAAGCTCTGCCAATTCGATATCATTCCTTGTTGTTCGGTCTTTAACGTCTGCTGTTATGTCTACATCTTCTGCATCTGCTGTCGCGGGCTTTTCCGTAGTGAGGCCGTCTGGCTTCTCTACTGTTGCAGTGTCTGAAAGCTCCTGTGTGCCAGATGACTCGGTTTTGGATAATGTTGTCGTAGACTGATCCACTTTTAATTCGGGCTTCTTAGGTACTTTGCCATTATTCTGCCTGATTTCTTCCTCCCATTCCTCGTCTGCTCGAATATCCTCAATCAATTTAGAAAGGGTATAACCTGGGCTAGCGACGCCTTGATAGAGATCTAAGTACTTTTCGGTGCCTAGCCGCAGTGCCTTCCAAAGCCTTGTTTGTTCCAAATCTTTCAATTCCTGCTCTGAAGGTGGGGGCCGCCCTTGCATCTTTCGAGTAGCGAGATCGCGCTTTGCAATCATTGGTACAGAGGGCAAATATCCATCAATTGTCTGAGGTGTCCAGTTGCTTCCGAGACCTGAGTCATCATCTTCTACGTCTTTCCAAAGCTGGCTCAAGTTAGCGCATCCCAACTTTTGTTTGAACGGTTTCAATCTTTCTGACAACTTGCGCCGCTTGGCTTGGGTTTCTTCAATGTCATCCGCTGCCAATGGTGGCCGTTCGAATTCCTGACAATTCTCAACTTTCCATTGCACCTTGAACGTCATTACCAATACTTATTAGCGATCAGAAACGAATTAAGCAGAAGTCAACGTAACAAGAAGTACAAAGACTCTAGAAATACATACCCAGCTTGAATCGCGGTCAAGAACGACATCAACCGTCTTTAGGAAATTTCTATCACCAGTCTCCAACCCGATCGATTTTAATTGCTTGAATATCCGAGGCTTGATCGCTGCTGCCCATTCTCGATCATCATCCTCCAAGAACCAATGCGGCATAAGAGATTTGTTCAATGACCCTTGCAGAAGAGATTTATTGACAGATCCGTGTTTGTTCACTTGAAGCTTAGAATAGGCTTCCGCAGCGGCAGTGCTATGGCTTTCGAGGTATTGTATGATAATGAGGAATTGGACAAGAATATGTTTTCGAAAGTAAGGATCGGAAATCTATTGTAGAATACACCAAACTTTAGTAAGTGGAGAAATGTTTAAAAATGAGCTCTTTTAGATCTGGAGTGGGAATAAATACCTCTAGTTTCAGCAGTTTTGAGCTTGTCAAGAATTTAGGAAAGTATGTTGTTGATTTTTCGGTATTTTCTACAGTAGAGAAGTGTTTCCTCTTTGTTGAAACAGAGTCACCCGGTGTAGATGATCCATCCTTGTAAGATAAAGATTTTGAATCAGCCGAACCAGAAGCATCTACTCTTTGCCCGTGAGCCTTTTGCTCAGCTTCCTCAACGGCTGCAAACTTGTCTAAAGTATGTTCGATACCCGTTCTGAACTTAGTCATGTTCTCTGGAGAGTTGCCCAGAGTTGTGGGATTACAGAAGAATGCCTGCAGACCCCAAAACTGTCTATAAAATGCCGAGTCGTCATATACTGCATCTTCATCGCCTTTTCTTGTCGTATTTGGATCTATATTTCAAATTGAGGAAACCCCTCTTCCTGCATGTTAAAAGTTTCATTCAAAAAAAAAAAAAAAAAAAAAAAAGCCATCCAGTCATTTTAATCACTGTCCTTGTGGTTGAATGAACACACCTTCATCGACATCCATAATTTCTGTGTTTGGGACGCCTGCTTCCCCAGTCTTAGATGACTTTCCATGGGATTGAGTAAAATCTGACGCCGCTTGTCCATCATCACCCTCGAGTAAAGTGATATTGTCGAGGTTGAACTCGCCTCTCAGGTTGACACCTGACCGTTCTTTGAGTGGCAACACACCTGTGAGAAGCATCAATATCCGTCCACAGAGCACTGCATTTTTGTCTTTAGAGAGTCGCCGAAGTAAATCATTACATAGTCGAAGCAATGTCAACCCCTTTCCTTTCCCAACTACCAAGTTCTAAAATACAATAAGAACTGGTGGTTAGCAAGCGACCAATGTTTCTTTTTCTTTTTTTCTTATTTATAAAAATATATATACATCAAGAAAGGTCACTCATACCATAGTTAGACGGTCTACACGAGATTCCAAATAGTTGTATATTTGCTCACTTGCTTCTATCGTCTGATATTCAAATATTTCTTCGAGGCAATTGAGTGGTGTAACATCATCCACGAGGCTGCGCTCGGAGCAACGCAACAAAAGGTCGAGGCACTGAAAGATGGCGTCTAAGAGTTTTGGCATGCTCACCGCAAGTTCATTCTAGGAATACATGATTGTAGATACGTTTATAATTATTAGTTGTATAAACGCACCAATTCCCTTTTTCACTCTGGCCCTTGTGACCGATCCTTGAGAAAGTATATATACCTGGATCTGAAGGAACTTAAGTTTAAATGCTGTTTCAAGTAACGGAGCCCTGCCGCCAGCAATATCAATGGACTTATATTTTTCAATGACAGGCACGATATATTCTGAGATAGGATCATCAAGCGCACAAGGTCGTTTGCTGTAGTCATCTGTGCCATTATTAACCTTATCAAGCGGTCCAAGTGTGGTTGGCAAGCCACGTGTGCGATCTAGTACTGTAGTGATGGACTGCTCCATCTCCTTTAGTGGCGCAAACCACGGATTATGTAGTAGAGTGGCCATGATTTAGCTTGAGAAAAATGAGAGGGGAAGAAAGATTGACGCAAAGCCTATTGTAATATGTCGATATATTTCTTTCAATGTAAATGATATCCTCTTCTGTAATTGTGGGTTGTGTGAATGGTAAATGAGTAATTCTTACTGATCTTAAGTCATGGTGTTAATGCTCAGCCACATCCAGTTTGGTTGTGCCACACAAATTAAATGACATTTTCTCACAGAGCGAGGAGAGTAATATTTATTTTCTACAAGTTCTGGTCATGAAATTAATAGTATAACTGCTTATTTATTCGTAATCCTCTGAAGCTTTGCAGCCAATCCTTTCGTCCTAATGACTCTCTATCAATAGTGCACACAACAAGATATACCTTATTTACGTTAGGAGCAAGCTGAGCATAAATGATCAAGAGT